AATTCACAGCCTGCAAATTTACCGCCTGCGAATTCACAGCCTGCGAATTCACACCCTGCGAATTCACACCCTGCGAATTCACACCCTGCGAATTCACACCCTGCGAATTCACACCCTGCGAATTCACACCCTGCGAATCCACACCCTGCGAATTCACACCCTGCGAATTCACAACCTGCGAATTCACAACCTGCGTATTCACACCCTGCGAATGCAGGATTAATCAGCACAAGCGGCACGCTCGCACCATGGCTGAGAAGTGGGGTTGGCTTAGGCGGATGAAGGATGAGATCCTGCACGGCTGGCCGGCGTTCAACCTGTCAGCATCCGCCGCTAGAGGAAGGCGGCTGAAGAGATGGCAGCGTCGGCTGGCAGTCGTTTGCGGCTTGCGGGTGGCGGACGGCATGCCCGCTACCCTGACATGGAACGCACCGTTTACAAGTAGTTCCTGAGCCACAGGGCACGGGGCCTGGCGGTCCCGATTAAGCTGCTGCAGACGTGGAGCCGGATTTCGATGAAGAACTGGCACCCTGAGGTCGACTGGCGCGCATCTCCTCGATGGACGGTCAGGTTTCGCCGGCGCTGGGGACTTACCGTGCGGGTGAAGACGAAGATCGGGCAGCGGCTTACTGAAGGTGCGTAAAAGTAATAAGCGGATATGTTTATTGCTCTACAATAACTCACTCAACCGTGGGTGACTGTTTTTTATGTTTACGTGCAGATCGCAACACGAAGTGTGAAAGCTTCTGGAAGTTCTGCAGGAGGCAAGTGGTCCGCGACGGCATCGACCCCTGGAACGTGATCAACGCCGACCAGACCCCGGTGTTCCTCGAGATGCCGCACGAGAGGACGTTGGCGCATCGTGGCGAGCGCGCGGTTCACATTCGGAGTGCCGGCTACGAGAAATCACGGATGACCGTGATGCTGGCGGTCACGGGGACGGGTGTGAAGCTACCGCCGATGGTGATCTTCAAGCGGAAGACCATCCCCAACATCCGTGTCCCGCCAGGTCAGTTGTTGCGTGCGTCCCTGTTCGCCGCATGGTTTGTCTTGTGCATGCTTGCCCCCCTCTGACAGTATGCACTTTCTGTGTGCAGGCATGCTCGTTCGAGCGCAAGAACGAAGCTGGATGGATTCCAGCCTCGTCCAAGACTGGGTGCAGAATGTGCTGGTACCTCACACGCGCCCCCGCCCAGGCAAACAGCGCAGCCGGGCGCTACTCATACTGGACTCATACCGTGGGCATCTGACGGACTCGGTACGGGGGACGCTACGCTGGCATCGCATCACGCCAGCGATCATCCCTGGCGGTTGCACGCCTCTTCTGCAGCCGCTGGACGTGAGCATCAATCGGTCATTCAAGGCGGGCGTCCGGCAGATGTACAACGACTGGTTTGCTGACTTCGGCATCAACATGTCAAACTATATATGTGTTAGTTTTGTGTAGGCAATAGTGGGGTAGCCAATATGGGGTACAACCCGAAGTTAGGGTTAGTACTTGTACCCACATTTCATTCTATGCATTCATTCCTGCTTGCTATCGCGCCATGGTATCAGAACGAAGGTCCCGGGTTCGAATCCCAGTGCGTGCATCTCGGGCATCCCAGTGCGGGGGGGTGTCAGAGGTCCACTGGTGATCCTCGATTGATCCTAGGGAAGGGTTACAGGCACGTTAGCCTGGGGGGTTATAGGCGCACTCACCCGCTACACAAACAAGCCCTTTTATCCCAGTGGTTAGTGGCTGGGATTCTAACATGGCCCTGGAGCTGGTGCTGTCGACCCTGGCGTTGGAGACCCTGGAGCTGGAGGTGCCAGTTCTGGGGGTGCTGCTGCTGGAGGCCCTGGCGCTGGTCCTGTCGACCCTGGAGTTGGGGGCCTTGAGGCTGGAAGTGCCGGTTCTGGGGGTGCTGCTACTGGTGGCGCTGGAGTTGGAGGTTCTGGAGCTGCTGGAGGCGCTGGAGCTGGAGGTACTGCTGCTGGAGTCCCTGGAGCTGGAGGTGCTGCTGCTGGAGGCACTGGAGCTGGAGGTTCTGGAGCTGCTAGAGGCGCTGGAGCTGGAGGTGCTGCTGCTGGAGTCACTGGAGCTGGAGGTGCTGCTGCTGGAGGCGCTGAAGTTGGAGGTTCTGGAGCTGCTGGAGGCGCTGGAGCTACTGGTACTGGTGGCACTGCACCGTCGCGACTGTTTTTCGCTCCGCCGTCACCGTCGTCTCTGCCACCGCCTGACTCCGTGCTTCGCCAGGTTCTTAGCCTCCCGTCTTCTACTGGCCTCCCGTTACAGCCCGGCGCACCACTGCCTGCTCCTTCTCCTTACACTGAGCAGTCAGACTCGCTTACAGAGCATCGTGAGCCTGCGTCTCGTCCTGCCTCGCCTGTTCGCGCGCGTCGCACTGGTCGTCGTGTTCCTCGTGAGCGTCCGCCTCCTTCCTCTGTTCCACAGCGTGTTCCCCTACCGTCTCCTCCTGCGTCTTCTCTGTCTGATGTTCAGGACCCTGAGTCTGACCTGGTTCGTGCTGCTCACCCTACTGTCACGTGTCTGCTCGCCACTGTTGTCACTGACCCGTCGTTTGAGTCTGCTGCTGCGTCTGCCTTAGTCTCTGAGCTTGTTGACTTTGCTGCTGCCTGTCGTCCAGACTACGCTGCTAGTTTTGTTGCTGAGTCTGAGTCTGTCTGTCCTCCGTCCGTCGGGGGTGAGTGTGCTCTTGGCACGGACGTCCTTGAGGACAGGCAGGAGGACTTTGAGTGTCTTGCAGCCGCTGCACCTCATCTCGTCGCCATGTTGCTTGCCCCTGAGGGAGACCCGGATGCACCAGACATCCCGACTCCGCGTTCTTACGCTGAGGCGATCGCGGGTCCCTACTCCTCTCAGTGGCAGACAGCCATGGACGCAGAGATGGCATCCTGGAAGTCCACAAGCACTTATGTCGATGAGGTTCCCCCTCCTGGGGCGAACATCGTCGATGGCATGTGGATTTTCAGGGTGAAGCGGCCGCCGGGTTCTCCGCCTGTCTTCAAGGCTCGTTACGTTGCACGAGGCTTCAGTCAGCGGCATGGAGTTGACTTCTTCCAGACCTTCTCCCCCACCCCGAAGATGACCACTCTTCGGGTGCTGCTGCACGTTGCCACTCAGCGTGACTACGAGCTTCACTCTCTGGACTTCAGCACAGCGTTCTTACAGGGCAGTCTGCACGAGGAGATCTGGCTGCGCCGCCCACCTGGCTTCACTGGGTCGTTCCCTCCTGGTACCCAGTGGAGCCTCCGTCGGCCAGTCTACGGTCTCCGTCAGGCGCCTCGTAAGTGGCACGACACACTGAGGGCGACACTTGCGGCTCTTGGGTTTGCCCCTTCCCCTGCTGACCCGTCGCTGTTTCTACGCACCGACACTTCGCTGCCGCCGTTCTACATCCTCGTGTACGTCGACGACTTGGTCTTTGCCACTGCTGACACTGAGGCTCTCGCCCTTGTGAAGTCGAAGCTGCAGAAGAGACACACGTGCACAAACATGGGTGAGCTGCGCAGTTACCTTGGCTTGCAGATCACCCGGGACAGAGCACGCCGCACCATCACCCTGAATCAGTCACACATGGTGCAGCAGGTCCTTCAGCGCTTCGGCTTCACTTGGTCCTCGCCACAGTCCACTCCTCTGGCTACAGGTCACTCGCTCTCAGCTCCACCTTCGGACGAGTCCGTAGAGCCGAGTGGCCTGTACCCAAAGCTAGTGGGCTGCCTCATGTACCTGATGACCTGCACTCGTCCTGACCTTGCGTAGCCTCTTGGCCTTCTGGCACGCTACGTGGCTCCTGGTAGGCACCGAAAGGTGCACATGGATGCTGCGAAGAGGGTACTGCGCTACTTGTACAGCACATCGGGCATGGGGCTCGTGCTTGGAGGGCGGAGCTCAGTTGTCCTCACTAGACACTCAGACGCTTCTTGGGTTTACGACCTGGCTACGCAGCGGTCGTCACAGGGTTACACTTTCAGCCTTGGCTGCGGCTCTGTTTCTTGGCGGTCTACCTGCTCGTCTTCTGTTCTCAGCTCCAGTTGTGAGGCTGAGATATACGCAGGGGGCATGGCTGCACAGGAGTTACGCTGGCTCACCTACCTGCTGACCGACTTGGGAGAGCGGCCTCGTTCTCCTCCAGTTCTGTACGTAGACAACAAGGCCATGATTGCCTTGTGTCAGGAGCACAGAACGGCATCGCTCTGCGTTACTTCCTCGCTCGAGAGTTGCAGCAGCGTGGTCAGCTTCGTCTTACTCACGTGGCCACTCGGGCCAACACTGCTGATATATTCACCAAGGCACTTCCGTCTGGTGATCATCAGCGCTTCTGTACTATGTTAGGCCTTGTGCCTATTTCGTCTCACTTGCTCACTTCGTGACTTTGCTTGTACTGTGATATATATCTATATATATACATGCATGCTTGCTCTTGCTAGGTAGTGATCACTGGACTGTTGTTGTTGCATATATACCTCTGCATGTGAACTGGCCTTGTGGCCCTTTGCTTGTGCTCGAGTGTGTGTTGACGTTGTGATCCACCCCGAGCTTGCTTTGCTTTTCTTGACTGGTCTTGTGACCCCTTGTTCTCCCCCACTTTGCCTATGGGGGTATGTCAAACTATATATGTGTTAGTTCTGTGTAGACTACAGTGGGGTAGCCAATATGGGGTACAACCCGAAGTTAGGGTTAGTACTTGTACCCACATTTCATTCAATGCATTCATTCCTGCTTGCTATCTTGACACAACACCCTGACCCCCGCCAGTAAGAAATTTCTTACCGTCTTTGCGCCCTTGTACCGCCAGCTACAGTGTCCGCATGCTAACGCATCTGTGCCTGTTCACCGCTGCAGGCAATCTCAGGAAGCCGCCAGCGGAGTTGGTGCTCCTGGGGATCGCCACGGCCTGGGCCGCCGTCCCTGAGGACCTCATTGTCCGCTCGTTCAAGACATGCGGCATCACCAACAACCCCGATGGGCGCGAGGATCACTTGATCTCGCGCACATGCGCGATGGAGCTCAAGTGGAGGTGCACGACGACGTGCACGCGGCGGGGGATGTGGAGGAGTGGGTGAACCCCATGTACGCCACTGCCCAGGAGGAGGAGGAGGAGGAGGAGGAGGAGGAGGAGGAGGAGGAAGAGGAGGAGGAGGAGGAGGAGGAGGAGGAGGAGGAGGAGGAGGAGGAGGAGGAGGAGGAGGAGGAAGAGGAGGAGGAGGAGGAGGAGCGGGACAAGGAGGCACCGGAGGAGGACGACGATATGGAGGAGGTGGACGGCGAGGAGGAGGAGGAGTAGCATGCTGTAGCAGTAGGTAGGTTACCGGTGGTTAGCGCCTGCTGGCGGTAGTTTGCTGGTATTGTAGCATCTAACATTGTACCGTTGTTTAGTAGAGTAACTTAACTGTAGTCTAGAGATGTGGAAGTAAAATAATTGAAATAGTGCTTAAAGCCCGCATGCAAAATAGTGACCCCCGTCCCAACTTGAATGAGGAGTTGGAAGTGAGGATGAAACCAGTGTCAAAAACACTGTTTCAAACGATTTGTATGGGCAGAGTGAACTCATGTTATTGGCTCTCGCCACAATGGAACGTAATGGTTCCCGCCAAAATGAACTTTCTTTCTCGTATCAGCCGTCGCATTTTTGCGTGCCGCATCCGCACGACAAACCCCAGGCGATGGTTTCCCATCGCAGGCCCAACCTCATTTTCAAGCTGGTGATGGGTGCATTACTAGATTTCTGTCACTCCATTCATCACTAGTTTCCGCATAGCATAGTAAGTAGTATAGCTGAAAGCACAGGCGTTCGTGTCATAGCCACGTAATTACCGACGAGTGCGTCTATCGTCGACTTAGCAAGAGTGTGAAATGTAGGTTTACATGGCCTGGTAGCGCAGTGCCAGTTTCCCGTCTCAATCAATTTGTCCGTCGCCTCGCTCTCTAGTCCGTCCCGTCGCCTTTCCGTCGCCCTCGCAAACACACGCGTGACGGCCCTCCCGTCGTCGTCACGGTCTCCCCTCCCGGTCCGTTATTCTCCCGTTCACCCCTCTTGTTCCCTCGCCCTCGCGATTTCCCTCCGATCCCGTCGCCTTTCCGTTCTCCCGCCCCTCGCCTTCGATGTCCCCTCTTCCTTCCCGTCGCCCTCACTATCTCCCTTCCCTCACGTTGCCTTCGATGTCCCCCTTTTCCTTCCGTCGCCCTTGCGATATCCCTTCCCCCTCCCGTCGCCTGTCCGCTCTCTCTCCCGTCGCCTGTCCGCTCCCCCCGCCCTTGCCTTCGTGCTCTCTCCCCCGTCGCCTTCGTGCTCTCCCTCCCGTCAGCTTCGCGCCCTCCCTCCCGTCTCCTTTGTGCTCTCCCTCCCGTTGCCTGTCCGCCCTCCTTTCCGTCTCCTTCGCGCTCTCCCTCCCGTTGCCTGTCCGCCCTCCCTCCCTTCGCCTTCGCGCTCTCTCTCCCGTCGCCTGTCCGCTCCCCCTCCCCTCGCCTTCGCGCTCTCCCTCCCGTCGGCGCCCTCCCTCCCGTCTCCTTTGCGCTCTCCCTCCCGTTGCCTGTCCGCCCTCCCTCCCGTCTCCTTCGCGCTCTCCCTCCCGTTGCCTGTCCGCCCTCCTTTCCGTCTCCTTCGCGCTCTCCCTCCCGTTGCCTGTCCGCCCTCCCTCCCTTCGCCTTCGCGCTCTCTCTCCCGTCGCCTGTCCGCTCCCCCTCCCCTCGCCTTCGCGCTCTCCCTCCCGTCGGCGCCCTCCCTCCCGTCTCCTTCGCGCTCTCCCTCCCGTTGCCTGTCCGCCCTCCCTACCTTCGCCTTCGCGCTCTCTCTCCCGTCGCCTGTCCGCTCTCCCTCCCATCGCCTTATTGCTCTCCCTCCCGTCGCCTTTCTCCTTCCCCACTTATCTCCTATCGCTCACGTCCTCCCCTCCCATCGGCATCGCGCTCACGTTCCGCCCTCCCGTCACCATCGCGCTCACGTGCACCTGTCTTCGCATCGCCTTCGCGCTCATGGCCTCCCCTCCGATCACGTCTCGCGACATAAGTTAAGCTAGCAAGGACGTCTCGCGCCGTCGCTATCTCCCATCACGTTCCGCGCCGTCGTTATCTCCCCCCTTCACCCCGTCGCGCTCGCTGTTTCTCCCCCCTCTCCCCGTCGCGCTCGCTATCTCCCACGCGATCTCATAGCGATCCCCTATTTGCAGTCGCCTACGCGATCTACTCCATTTTCCGTCGCCCGCGATCTCCCCCATTGTACGGTAAATCGCCCTTGCTATACCCCCTCCCTTACCGTTCTAATTCCCGTCGGCCCCTCTCTCTCCTCTCGAGTCACCTTGTCGTTCTTCTGTTTGCTACTTGCATCACTCGGTGTTGTTAGTTAGCTCAACATTGTGTGTATGCTGCGTGTGTGGTGGCAGGTTCCGTTGTGAAATTTGTGATGTGTTGTGCTCGATGCGGATTTGGATGGGTGGGAGAAGTGGAAATGTCATAGCAAGCTTGCGACAATTCTGTGCATGTTGCGACTGATCGTATCAGAAGTCGGAAACAACTTCAAATCGGTCTTGTTACTACTTGGGGTAACTTTCTGGAAATTTTCATGAGCTATATAGAGGACCCAACTAGAAGGGAGGGGTCACTATTTTGCATGCGGGCTTTAAAAACCAGGTCCTCTCCAGGACTGACTTAATAAAAGACCCTTGGTCCGGATAAAAGACCCACGGGTCTTTTATGCGGGGGGGTCTTGTAACCGAGAGATCACGGTATGTGCTTACACCTCAGGGGCATCCCGGAGAAGGATTGCGATGGCCAATCATTAGCTTATAAAGTTGTTGGTGCGGAGATAACTACTACAACGGGAGCTAAACTACGGGCTAGGCACGGATGCTCGTGTGATCTCTGCGTTCGTTGGTCCTTAGTCGTTTTCCTAGTGCATACACAGCTTGCTAGTTCACTGGGAGAATTGGCAAGAGTTTCACTAGAGAAGGTTGACAACAATGGTACAATGAAGTTGGCATAACAAGACTACATCAGAGCAAGCATTCAGGTCGATCGACTGCCAGCGCAGCATGGTCGACCGCGTTCCAGCACGACTTGGTCGACCGCGCTCCAGCAGTGCAAAGTCGACGGCGTGCCAACGTCGCAGGTTGACGGCGTGCCAGCGTTGCTTACGCAGAACAGCAGCGCACCTGCTTCGCAGGTGCTCGCAGATGATTGGAGTGCAGAGTCTCGTCACCTGCACAGCGCACACACCAAGTCAACCTGGCGCTGATGACTGCCTCTGATCAGCCACGTCGACCTCGGGATACCACCACCGAGGTCGGGCTCCCCAACTTCGCCTGGGCGACCGTCGCACTCCTCCGCAGAACCTCGTCACCCAGGTAACCTGGTCGACCGGGCAACCACGTCGACCAGCTGCTCCCGTACGTGCCCGTCGACCTCCCAAGTCGACGACTACCTCCAAGTCGACCTCACCAAGTCGACCACGCCCCTAGGTCGACCAGCTCCAGGTCGACGTCACTTCTGGTCGACCAGCTCCACGTCGACCAGTGCAGTTGTCAGCCAACTTCCCAAGTCGGCTACCCGAAGTCGGCGTCACGAAGTTGACGCCCCGCTACTCGACGCCCAACTGCTCGGCGTCCTGAATCGAGGTCGACGTCGGCCCCTCCTTCGTCGACCACCAGGTCAGGTCGACCACCCGCAAGTCGACCAGCAGGTCCTGTCAGCCGACCACCAAAGTCGGCTGCCCCAAGTTGACGTCACCAAGTTGACGTCCTCCGCAGGTCGAATTCCCAAGTCAACCTCCCTGAAGTCGGCGCCACCCTGAAGTCGGCGCCCGTGCAGTGGTCCCCGTGCAGGTCGACCTCCTCGTCAACCAGCGCGCCCATTGCTGCAGGTCGGCTGCTCCCCTCACACCCGACCACGAAGTCGGCTCCGCCCAAGCGAGGACGGGGCCAACACACAACTCCCGTTGACAGTTGGCAGCAGGTGATGGTGGTGCTGTTGCATGTGATGCTGCTAGTGTTGATGTCGATGGTGGTGATGATGGTGATGGTGATGGCGACAATGATGGTGATTGTGCCGGAGTTGCCAATAAGGTTTAGGGGCTCAGGTTCAGGATTTAGGGTCAAGGGTTCAGATTAGGGTAAAGGGTTCAGGAATTAGGGTTCAAGGGTTTAGGAATTCGGGTTGAAGGGTTGGGGAGTTGAAAAATCAGGGGTTAAGATTAAGGGTATAAGGATTAAGGTTTCGTTTAGGGATCGGAATTTACAGGGGTTAGGGTTTGAGGTTCGGATTTAGGATGGTGACTGTGCTGGGGTTGCCTTATCCTTAAACAAAGCACTGGCTGATGGTGCTAGTGCTGCTGCTGGTGCTGCTAGTGGTGGTGGTGGTGCTGCTGCTGGTGCTGCTGGTGGTGGTGCTGCTGCTGCAGTTGGAGGGCTGCTGCTGCTGCCGGTGCTGTTGGTGTTGCTGCTGCTGGCAGCGGTGAAACGCCAGGACTTGAAGGACTAGGAGGAGATTAGATGTCCGGTAGCGGTGGGGATGGTGGTGGTGGGGATGGTAGTGGCGATGGTGGTGGTGGGGATGGTGATGGTGGGGATGGTGGTGGTGGGGAGGGTGGTGGTGGGGAGGGTGGTGGTGGCGATGGTGGTGGTGGGGATGGTGGTGGTGGGGAGGGTGGTGGTGGGGAGGGTGGTGGTGAGGAGTGTGGTGGTGGGGATGGTGGTGGTGGGGAGGGTGGTGGGGATGGTGGTGGTGGGGAGGGTGGTGGGGATGGTGGTGGTGGGGAGGGTGGTGGGGAGGGTGGTGGTGGGGATGGTGGTGGGGAGGGTGGTGGTGGGGATGGTGGTGGTGGTGATGGTGGTGGTGGCGATGGTGGTGGTGGGATCGCTGTATAGGAGGGAAAAGGGAAGAGGGAATGGACAGATAGGGTGGAAATTAAACACCACAATTATAGCATTATTTGTACACCAGAAAAGAAAAGAAAAGAAGGAAAAAAAACTTTTTTTTCAACTCAGAGTGATTACGATCAAATCCTGAAAAAAAACCCAGGTAATTTACCTGAAGTTACCTGACAAACCACATGAGCAGGGAAATTACCCAACTGACATACAACCTGGAATGAGCTGTTGGGAACTTACGAGGTCTGGGTGGGGGAGGGGGAGCTGGTGAGCGGCGGGAGATGAGGCTAGGGGGCCGGGGAGGGGGAGGAGGGTTGGGAGGAGGAGGGCACGGAGGGGGTAACGGAGGTGAGGGAGGGGGAGAGGGAGGAGGTGATGGAGGGGGTAACGGAGGTGAGGGAGGGGGATAGGGAGGAGGTGAGGGAGGAGGTGAGGGAGGGGGAGAGGGAGGAAGAGAGGGAAGAGGTGGTGGAAGAGGTGCCAGAGCTGGCTCTTGTCCTGCGAAACAGATGGGAATGGGGGAGAAAGGAGGGAGTACAGAAAACAGAAGGGGAATATATATATATATATACATATATATATATATGGGTGCGATAGGTGGTGGTGGTGGTAATAGGTGCTTGAAAAACAGAAAGGAAGAGAGGAAGGAGGGGGTGAAAGAGATGGGAATTGGGGGGAGGGGGGGAGGGGGGGGGGTGGAAGGAGAGAAGATAGGGAAGAAAACAGACACGAAGAGGAGAAATATTGGATGCAATGAAGTGAAGAGGGAAGTGAAGAGGGAGGAGGAAGAGAGGAAGGATGTGGTGGAAGAGGTGCCAGAGATGGCACTTGTGCTGTGAAAGAGATGGGGGTGGGGGTGGGGGGGTGGTGAAGTGAAGAGGGGGAATATGGTGGGGGAAAGGAGAGAATATAGGGGAGAAAACATACGAGAAGGGGAGAGACATTGGGTGGGATGAAGTGAAGAGGGAACGATGGCAGGTGTGGTGTGGATAATGGATGGTTGGATAACGAGGAAGGAGGATAATGGATGAGGTGAAGAGGGAACGATGGCAGGTGTGGAAGTTAGGAGTTTGGAGGATAATGGATGGATCATGCAGAAGGTCATGTTTTGAGCCGACTCAAAACACGACTCATTACACGCGAGCGATGGCAGGAGTGGAAATAAGGAGTTTGGAGGATAACGGATGAAGGCATAATGGATGGATCATGAGGAAGGAGGAGAATGCATGAAGGCATGAGTAAGGGGGAGGGATGGGGGTGTGTGTGTGGGGGGGGGGGGGGGGAGGGGGGGAGGAAAAACAGCTAAGCGTGGAGAGTTTTGAGAACTGTCTCTGGCTGTGCACACATACCTATCCATGGCTGGTCCATTGCTCTCATGCATTCATTCACAAATACCCAAGAATTCTAATAAAACCATGTTGTGTGCCCACATTCTCTCATATCATCATATCATATCATATCATATCATATCATATCATATCATATCATATCATATCATATCATATCATATCATATCATATCAAATCATATCATACATACCTGTGAAAGGTGGTGGGGAAGGGGGGTGGTGGGGGTGGTGATGGGGGTGGAGGTGATGGTGGTGGTGGCGAGAGGAGTGGGGGAGGTGGAGAAGAGGGAAGAGGAGGAGGAGAGGGAGGAGGAGACGGAGGAGGAGGAAGGGGTGGGCTAGGAGGAGGAGGAGAGGGAGGAGGATTAGCTGCAAGGGAGACAAGGGGTTGAAAGAGATTGGATGGAAGGGGAAAGGATGAGGAAGAGAGGGAGGGTAACGAGTGAGTAGTGTGGGAGCGAGAGAAGAGCACGATTGGGCAGCTGTATATGTGACTCGTGGAAGGGGTAACATGTGGATTGCAAGAGACGCTCACAGAGTACAGTAGTAACTTCCTCCTTGTGACGGTCAATCACGATATGCTTGCACGCTTGGGTTAGGGGGAGATGTATGTGTGACTTATGGAAGGAGGGAATGGAATGTACTACACTTTAGGGTTAGAGTGTGTACCAAAGTTGTGCGGATTTCAAGAGATGCTGATTATACCAAAGGTCAACTTCAATATACCTGACTTACCAATCCATAAAAAGAAGAGAGCACATTTTTTAGAATTTCCAAAACCCAGCTCGTACCTGACTTACCAATCTCGTGCACACACTGTCCTCAAAAAGCAGAGAGCAAAGCGAGACTTTTGAGTCGACTCAAAAGGCACCTCGTTACAATGGCACACGACACATTTTGAGTCGGCTCAAAAGTCACCTCAATATACCTGACTTACCAGTCTCGTTCACACAGTCCACAAAAAGCAGAGAGTACAGAGAGTGGTGCGAACAGAGGGGGGCAAGCAGAGTGGGTCAGAGAAAGAGTGGAGTGAACAGACATGTGTTCTTCTGCTCACAGATCTTGTACTGCATGCAACCACACGTTTAGGGCACGGAGAGTCATGCAAAACGAGTGGTGCGAAGAGAGGGGTGCAATGGGAGCGGTACAGAGGGAGGGGTGCAGAGGGAGGGGTGCAGAGGGAGGGGTGCAGAGGGAGTGGTGTTCTCATTACCAGTCTTGCATTGCGTGCAGAAGTTGGGGCAGAGAGAGCAGAAGGCGAGCGGAGCAGAAGAGGAGGCGAGGAGGGATGTGAGAGAGGGAGTGCAGGCAGAAGCAGGAGAGGGGCACTCCATGCCCTCGCTGATGCTCCTGTTGTTGTGGGGGGGGGGTTGGGTGAGGAGGAGTGAGGGGGGAATGGGAAACAGAATAAACACTGAAGGGATGGTGAGGAGAGGGGCATTCCATGCCGTCGCTGATGCTCCTGTTGCTGTGTGGGATGGGAGAGGAGGAGTGAGGGGGAAAGGGGAATAGAGAAGAATCACAGACAAGGAATCTACAGCGTTGCTAGCTCAGAACAGGGATAATGGGGGGAAGGAGGAAGAGGTAAAGAACTGGCACATGCATAAAGGCAGAGACTCCAGTCCACAGATGCATGGGCTAGAGATAAATTTAGAGTCGACTCAAAAGTCACCTCGTTACAATGGCACACGACATGTTTTGAGTTGACTCAAAAGATTCCAGTCCACAGATGCATAAGATTGAGATTTCCAACAGGTTGCACGAGTAGGCACACCTAACAGGTTGACCAGCTCGTGTTTCATCATTTTTCCAGTAAAGAACCGGTGGCACATCATGCATGCACGCATAAAGACAGAGATTCATGTCCCCAGATGCACGAGTTAGAGACTCAGACAATGAGACGGCATCAAATTCGAAATCACTTTTGAGAATTCTCAAAAGTGATTTCAATATAGATGGCACTCGAATTCAAGGTTATTTTCCGCGAGGCGGGAAGGAGTATTCGGACACTGACTGACTGAGACACATGTGATTTTGCCTTTTCTCTGGAAGTGAGAGCACGAGGCACACTCAAAGTCTCACAGTTGCATGAGCCTTGGGCATTGAGCGAGCACCAGAGGGACAACCCCTGTGAAGTGGTTCCCCGAGAGTTGGCTGGAGGGGGGGGTGGGAATAAGGGAGAAGTTTGAGTGAGAGGGGATGCATGGGAAGAGGGAACTGACATGCAGGGAGTTGCGGAGGAGAGTAAACAAGCAGTAGAGGGGCAACAGTTTCTGACATGCAAACTAAAGAGAGGGGCTCGATGATGGTCGGAGGGAGAGTCGTTTTGTACGGCGCCTCAAAACCGCGTGAACATAGACGACTTGTGAGGCGCCTCAAAACCGCGTGAACATAGACGACTTGTGAGGCGCCTCAAAACCGCGTGAATATACATGGGCAAAGTGACGAGCCGAGTAATACTCGGCTCGTCAGAGGGCATGCTCGCCGAGCATTTGTCTCGAGCCGAGCAATGCTCTGGCGAGCATTTTCGTACTTTTACCATACTCTAGACTCGTTGATTTAGGGTATGCTCGGGCGAGTATGTGAGAATACTCGCCCGAGCACTGAAATACTCGACTCGCCCCTATGTACCTGCACATGTTGCCCTTCTAATACAAAGGACATGGAAAAAATCAATAGGCCAGACGTGCCCATGATTTTGATGGGCCATGGTATAGCACGGGAAGTCTAGGGAAGCAATAGGAAGCCCAGGGATACCGCCAGGAGGCCTGGTGATAATCCAGCTCGTGGTGGACCCGTGTACCCTATTACTACCGCACAACGACACCCGCTGCATACCACTCTTTTCACGCACTCCAAGCTAGCACCAATAGCATCTAAACATCGCTGTGCATGTGATAATTTAACTAGGGGCCAGGTCTAGCGCCCTGGTGGTGAGCGTGCGCTTGGTGAGAAACAACATGCAGTTTAGCAACAACCAAATCGCTTTAAATATGACCCGCCGCCATCCCACCAAACCACTCATGTCTTCCCCACCCGCAGCAGCAGTAGCCTCCGTCATCCCCGCCCATCCCCTTCATCCGTACCGTCCACCCACCCAATCCCCCAAGCCTTTCACCCGCAAAATGGTTGGGAACATTTGATGGGTTCAGATCTGGGGTCAAATTTTCCCGCCAAATTTGACCCCCGGGAAAATTCTACGCGACGAGTATTACTTGCTCGACGAGCATAAAAAAACTCGTCGAGCATAAAACGAGCACGAAAATGCTCGTCTTAGCGAACGAGCATGTGACGAGTATGAAAAGCTCGGCGAGCATTACTCGGCTCGACTCGGCCGAGTAATTTTGCAAAAAAATCATGCTCGTAACTCGGCCCCCAACGAGCATTTCGAACGAGTAGAGCAAAAACCCTACACTCGTTGCCCATGGTAAACGCGTGAACATAGACGACTTGTGAGGCGCCTCAAAACCGCGTGAACATAGACGACTTGTGAGGCGCCTCAAAACCGCGTGAACATAGACGACTTGTGAGGCGCCTCAAAACCGCGTGAACATAGACGACTTGTGAGGCGCCTCAAAACCGCGTGAACATAGACGACTTGTGAGGCGCCTCAAAACCGCGTGAACATAGACGACTTGTGAGGCGCCTCAAACCGCGTGAACATAGACGACTTGTGAGGCGCCTCAAAAGAGGGGCTCGATGATGGTCGGAGGGAGAGTCACCTTGCTTCTTTGTTAGGAAAGATAGGAGGAGGGGAGTGTAGAGGAAAAAGGGATGTGTAGGGGAGGCAGAGGGTGAGTGGAAGGCAAAGGGTGGATTGAAGGAAGACAGAGGGTGGGTGGACGGCAGAGGGTAGGAGATAGAGGGTGGGAGACAGAGAGTGGGGGGCTTACAGGATGTAGAGATTGGGTAAGGCAGGGAATACGGAATCTGTGATTGGGCCTGAGAGGTTGTTGTTTTGGACTTCGCTGTGAGGGAGGGATGGAATGGGGAGAGTGGAGAGGTGAGGGTGGAGAGGGGAGGGATTTGGAGTGGAGTGATGGAGAAGAGGGGGACGGAGAGAGGACGTGGAAAAGAGTAGCGATGGCGCCCGCCACTCACAATGTGGAGAAGGCTGGGTTGGTGATCGAAGGGTCAGGGAGGCGGCCTGACAGCTGGTTGTTTGCGAGCAGGCTGCACGGGCGGTGCACGGGAGAGGTGAAAGGCTCAGAGGGACGGGTGGTGAAAAATTAGAGGGAGTGGATGAGACGGGGGGGAGGGGGGGCGGGGAGATGACAGGGCTCAGGAAGGGACTGTATGGGGGACTCATTGTGGCCTAAGAGGCGGCTCACTATAGTGTGAGAGGCAACTCACTATATTCTAAGAGGTGGCTTGCGATGGAATTTGAAATAGCACCCACAGGTTTTTTCAGTTTGGGAGCTTGCGCAATGGAGGGTGGTATGCAGCCCTGAAGCTGGTTGTTGGAGAGGCTCCTGTGGAGATAGGGAATGGAAAGGGGGGGGGGGGACGAGGAAGGAGGGAGACAGTTGCTTACGCTGGCCGACGAAGCAGGTTGTTGGAGAGACTCCTGTGGAGATAGGTGTGGTTGGGAAGGAGAGAGTGAGAGGGACGGATGAAATGAGTTTTGAGTCGACTCTACAGGGTACTTTTGGGAGCTTTAGATAGCACACTGCATCATACAAAAAAGGAGCCGGAAGGACTTTTGAGTCGTCTCAGAAGTCATCTCGTTATAATGGCACATGGATGGATGGCCCTGTTTCTGGTTGTTGGAGACGCTTCAAGATGGGGGTGGGGCAGAGGGAGTGAGTGAGGGACGAAGACAGTGGTTACAGTGAGGTAGACGCTTACAGGGCCTTAAAGGCTTACAGGGTTTGAAGGACTGAGAAGCTTGCGAAGTTGGTTGGCAGAGAGCCGTTGAGGTTATTGTTGTTGAGATAGCTGGTGGAGTGGAATGGAGGAGTGGTGGGTGGACGGGGATGGATAAAGGGTGATGGATAGACAGCGGGTGGAGAGAAGGAAACACCAGAGGGGGGTGCAGAGGAGGATGGAGATAAGGGAATGGAGAGGGGGGAATGGAGAGACGGGAAATGGCCCCGTTCGCCTTCGCAGTCGTGTGCGCTAGAGGTGCAGCTGGCTGCTGTCAGTGGTCGACGCCGACTTGGGAGAGGAAGTCGACAGACTTAATCGACTTCCGCGGCGCCACTGTGAAGCCGCCGACGAGGTGAAGTCGGCGGCCGACGTCGACTTGGGAGGTCAACGACCTGTGGCCGCCGGGGACATTACCCGATCGACTTGATTACTTGGTTGACGAATTCCTGCGGAGGTTCGCGGATGTCGCCCAGGAGGTTTTGGTGAAGACGACCTGCGGGTCGGTATCCCGAGGTCGACGTGGCACATCTGGTGCAACCGTCGACACGTGACCGACTTGGCACCTGCGCTATCCAACGAGTCCAACGTGTGCGACCGTCGCCCTGCACCTGCGAAGTAGGTGCGCGCATATGCGCTTACAGTCACCTGCAATTGCAACGCTGGCAAGCCGCAATGCTGCAGAGTTGGCAGGCCGCCTTGCTGAAGCGTTGGCAAGCCGTCCTGGTGAAGTGCTGGCAGGCCGCCGACTTGCAGCGTTGGCAGGCCGCCTCCAAGCTGCGCTGGCACGGTGTCGGCTTGCAGTGCTGGCAGGCCGCCCCGTGCTGCGTTGGAGGTCGACCTGCCTGTGTGGCAGGATGCTAGGCCTCTGATGTTGTCATTGTTGCCATTGTTTTTTGCATCATTGTGTAATCATTTTGCTAGTGAAACTCTTGCCAATCTGCCCTGCGTATGCGCAAGTATAGAGAATACGAGCAAACACTACGATCACTCGTACCACCCGTGCCGTTCCCCGTAGTCCAGCTCCCAGTGTGGAGTGAGTCTCCGCACAATGGAGAGATGCAATGAAGGGAAGGGAATAGAGAGAGGGGGAATTAGCAAAGGGACTGCAGAATGGGGTAAGATGTGGCTAGTTTAGTAGTTAAGTTACCACACCATTATTGAGGCGCCTCAGAAAGAGCTGTTGAGCGGATAGTCGTTTAAAGGAGGAGAGGTATGAGAGGAGGTGGTGGGGAGTAGGCGAGGCAACTCAATCAAAGCACATCAGTTACAGCTGGCGTGACATGACATGGATATGCTGGCTGGCGGCTAAGAGCCTATGGCTGGCGGCTAAGAGCCTATGGCTGATGGCTAAGAGCCTATGGATGACGGCGAAGGGCCTATGGGGTGACTTTTGAGGTGCGCCAAAAGGCACGGCGACAAGGAGATACGGATAATTTCATTCAAGGTGTTTCTGAGATATTTTCAATCCGCGCTGCTGCTCACATCAGCTGCAGGTGTGGCAAGGGGGCGAGGAAGGAGGGCATGTTTCCACGTTGTGTTTGAGTTTTTTTTTTTTTTGGCACAGAACGCTGCTGCTCACATGAGTTGCAGGCGTGGCAAGGAGGCGAGGAATGAGGGCGCAATGGAAGGAGCTGACGGGATGAGACAAAGGGGAGGCACAGAGAGGAATGGAGCGAGGAGCAGACTGGATGATGGATGAAAAGGAAGGAGTGTTCTCGAGGCGCCTCAAATCCTGTCCCCATGCAGCCCGTCCCGTTGCGTTGGAACTTGGAAGGAGCTGATGAGACACCGAGGGAAACATTATTGCGTCGACTCAAGTATAGGAGCTGACGAGACACTGAAAGAATCACTCAGTTACAATATAATACATGTGTGCGGGCACAGGTGGGGCACAGGGGAGGTCCTATACACATTGGCCGCAGCGCAAGTACACATGGCACCAGCACTGCCACGAGCGCAAGCAAGCAAGAACATGTGAGGGTCACGGCGGCAGACACATGAAGGGCAGTGCAAAGGGTCTTAACTTCTGTATGGAAGGATCGATAGTAGAACTTATGAAGAGCAGGTAAGACCGCTTGAGCGTGCGTCGCAGCAAAGGCACATGGTGGTGCAACCAGCTTCTCGAAGCGGAGAGCGTAATGAGGTATGGGTAGTGGAGAGGGAGCGAGAGGGAGGAGAGGGAGTGCGAGGAAGGAGGAGTGAGAGGGAGGAGAGGGAGTGAGACAAGGGAAAGGGAGAGAGAGGAAGGAGAGGGAGTGAGAGGAAGGAGAGGGAGTGAGAGGAAGCAGTGGGAGTGAGAGGAAGGAGAGGGAGTGAGAGGAAGGAGAGGGAGTGAGAGGAAGGAGATTGTCAAGGGATTGAGAGAAGGAGCATTTGGAATGACTGACAGAGAGGAGAGTGTGGTGAGGGACTTACAGGAAGGAGAGTGCAGTGAGGGAGGAGAAGGAGAGAGGGATGGATCCAGTGATGCTGTTGTTGTCAACTCGCCTGCCATGCCGTGACATGCCACACAACAACCATGTCATCCCATTCCATCCCATGCCATGCCATGCCTTGCCATCCCATGTCATGCCATGCCATGCCATGCCATGCCATGCCATGCCATGCCATGCCATGCCATGCCATGCCATGCCATATGTAGTGCCACTCCATTCCATCGCATGCCATGCAATGCAATGCTTGCAATACTTGAATGTATACATGGGCAACGAGCCGCGCCGAGCTTTACTCGGCTCGTCCCCAGGCACACTCATACGAGCTTTGTTCCGAGCCGAGTTTTGCTCGTACGAGCTTTTTCCAGGCAAATGCAAGCTCGTGACTCGGCTAAATAGCACGAGCTTTTCAAAAGCTCGTCCGAGCTTCAAGAAAAGCTCGGTCGAGCCGAGGGAAGCTCGGCTCGTTGCCATATACATGCACGAGCTTTTCAAAAAGCTCGTCAGCGTAACGAGTGCTCGGCGAGTTTTAAAAACTCGCCGAGTTAGACTCGCCTCGGCTCGGACGAGTTATTTTCAGGGAAAAGCACACTCGCAACTCGCCCTCGAACGAGTGCCACGTACGAGCCGAGGCGAAAAACTCGCCTTGGTGCCCATGTATACTTGAATGGGACACGCCTGGAAGGAACTAGAGAGGGTGTATAAATGAATGGGCCCCTGTTAGGTGCCCTGAATTTACGTGGCAGCAACTATGATGTTTCGGTAAAAGTTTTATAAAAGGTGCTTGCTTGCAAGACTTGAATGAGACCTGCCTGGAACTACATTCTCATAGTGCTAGCTAGAGATGGTGTATAAATTAAGCGAAGGCGACCCACATACTTGGACCACAGCATAGTGTAAAAAGCTGAAAATAGTTATATTAGGTAAGTTTCATTCTGCGTAAGTGAAGTCTTATATTAGGTAAGACAAATTGGAAAGATAAGAGTTTAGCTAAGCAAGTCCTTTGTTGGGTAAGACTTCACTTAGGTAAGACTCCGAAGGCAACCTACAGGAAACTAATCGGGGTAGTTTAAGGTAAGCGGGATGAAGGAAAAGGCACACGGAGCCGAATAGACTCATATATTTTAACAAACCTAAAGAGAGGAATTGAAAAAGGTAAGACAGGCAAGGAGGGTGAAGGAGGCTTGCATGGAGCGGAAAAAGCAAAGGAATTGAAAAAAGTAAGGTAGACCGTAGAATAGGGGAGTGACGAAGGCATAAATGGAGTGGGTGGAGGGGAGTGGAGAAGTCACAGAAATTATTATTGCTGAGTGTTTGAGTCAAAGAAAGAAATCAAACTCCTTAACTGGAGAAGCTTGAGTATGGGGGGTAGTAGGTATGGGAAGTGTAGGAGGCGTGCATGCAGTGAACAGGACTTACATGGAGCGGAGAAGCTTGAGATTGCCCATGGAAGAGGGCAGAGACCCTGAGATGCTGTTGTGTGAGAGGTCACTGCGGTGGGCGGATAGAGGAGGGCAGCATGGGGGGGAACACAGGGGGAGAGAGGGAGCAAAGGGCGGTTCGAGAGGGTGGGTGGTTCAAAGGTAACAGACGAAAAGCGATGCCCATGGTGGAGGGCAGACACCCTGAGACGCTGGTGTGTAAGAGGCCACTGTGATGGCGGATACACAAGGGGGGGAGAAAGAGAGGACCGTTTAAGACTGAGAGGTTATGTCTGTTTGGGATGGCGAGAGGAGTGTGAGTGGTAGGAAAGGCGAAAGACGGAAAGTGGTTCTTACAGGCCTCATCTTGAAAATTTCAAAAACCAACCTCAAAAGGCAGGCTAGAGAGACCCCCATGGCTTGGGGTGGTTTCCATTGAGTCCCTTCAACTCACAGGCCTTGCGATTTGAGACGCCGCAAAGCTCTTAACTGAAAACTGAAAACGCACAGGCCTTGCGTTATGAGACGTCGCAAAACTATCACTGAAAACTGAGAACTCACAGGCCTTGCAAGCTGGAAAGCCCACGCATGGCTTGGGGTGGTTTCAATTGAGTCTCTGCAACTCGCAGGCCTTGCGTTATGAGACGTCGCAAATCTCTAAACTGAAAACTGAAAACTCACAGGCCTTGCAGGCTAGAGAGCCCCCCGATGGCCTGGGGCAGACTGCCTGTGAGGCGGTTGACCTGCATGCTCCTGGAATGAGAGGAGAGGTGAGTGACGAGCAATGAGCACGGGTAAGTTGAGTCGACTCAAAAGTCACCAAGCTAGCTCAAGAGGGCCCACCATGGCTTCGCTGGGGCAGACTGCCTTGTGAGTAGTGAGTGGTGAGTGATGAGTAACAGAGCAGTGCAGCATAAAAACTGGTCTGAAGAAGGCTGAACGCGTGTAAGGTAGGTAAGTAAGGTTCTCGCATGGCAGCTAAGTGGTGTATACACATGTAAGGTCATGACAAAGAAGGCACACCCACCACAACGCATGCAGACACACCACAACGCATGCAGACCACCACAACGCAGGCAGACACACCACACGCATGCAGACACACCACAACGCATGCAGACACACCACAACGCATGCAGACACACCACAACGCATGCAAAACGAAATGCAGAAATACAGATGCAGACTCATCAGTACACGCACTGGCAAGGCAAGACAGCACACCACAATGCATACAGACCTATGTTGCACTATACGCTAAGGCTTCGACGCGTATCACGTTTGTACGGAAACGTATATACGAAAAGACGTGAATACGCCCATAATACGCGATACGGCTAGGTCGGGCAGCCCGAAAAAAAAACTCAAAAATATGTTCCGCCGTTCTCGCGATCTGCGATTCTGTGAGACCTAAATTTGACATTCGAGACTCGAATTGATCCCCCACCCCCCTTTTCCACTGCACGTCACCACAACCACCTCCCAAACCCAACCTTTCCGTCCCACCCACCACTAGCAACTGGCAGCTTTCACGTCGGCGAGAGTACAACAGACTTTCGTATCTCAATTGTCTCACCCCTATTTTACTCTACGATGTAGCTTCAAACAGCTATGTCGACCGCCAATGCCGCATCTGTTATTGCTAATTGTGGCTTAAGCGTCACATCGCAGGATCTTCGCGGCCGAAATTTCAGGGCGATTCTGGCCAACGATCCCTAAAAAATTCAGAGTTCCTTATCGCAAAAAACGCATTTCGCATCAGGAGATTATCCGCATCAGCGAGCATCTAGGAAAAAAAAAATCTCCTGAAGGATTCTACCTCCACTGAAGTGTTTTATCCCCTGCCCGAAGAATCTTTTTGCCTCCCCGACACTCCGTATTTCGGGTTTTTTTTGTACGCTGGAAGTCAGCGTATCACGAATGTACGGTAGCGTATAGTTCGAACGCGTACCGTACGCTGGTTGCGTATTTTGCAACATAGATACAGACACACCACGATTCATGCAGACACACCTCAACGCATGAGGCCTCAGCACAATGCATGAGGCACGGCACAACACATGAGGCACGGCACAACACATGAGGCACGGCACAACGCATGAGGCACGGCACAACGCATGAGGCACAGGCTCACAGGAAGACGACGGTTTTGGAGTTTGGAGATAGAGGCTGGCAGGGAACCGGTGATGGTGTTGTTTGTCTAGCCATCTGGGTGAATGGCAGTGGGAGGATAAGGGTGGAAAAGGAAGAGGATTGAGGTTAGGAAAGAAAAGAAGAGCAGGAGCGGTTGGAGAGAGGAAGAGAAGAAGAGTAGAAATGAAGAAAGAAAGAAGGCAGGAAAGGAGGGAAAGGAGGAAGGGAAGAGGGACATAAAGGAGTAGGAAGAAGGAACGAGGAAAATAACGAGTACAGCCCACAGGTTCCGGCATTCACAGCAGCAGCTCACAGCTCACAGGTGTTCACACCAGCATCCACACCAGTAGCAGCACCAGCCATTCACATTCACATCACATTCCCCTCATCATTACCATTACCATCGCCATCCATTCATCATCATCATCATCATCATCATCATCATCATCATCATCATCATCATCATCATCATCATATCATCATCATCATCATCATCATATCACATCATCATCATCATCATCATCATCAGCAGCAGCAGCAGCAGCAGCAGCAGAGACTCACATGCTGGAGAGGTGTGAGAGGCGGCCAATGCCCGAAGGAATGCTGCCGGAGAAGCGATTGTGAATGCCGTTGCTGCAGGTGGGAGGGGAGGATCAAATGGAAGGTGATTTGATGGGTGTTGGTCGCAGTGCCAGGGAGAGGGGAGTTGGGGTGGGGGGCAGAGGAGAGACTGTTTTGGAGTCGACTCTAAAAACTCCTCCAGGAGGAAAGGGCGGATCAAGTGGTGATGTGATGATATGATGCGGTGCCGGTTGGGTGTCAGAGAAAGGGGAGTTGGGAAGAATGAGAGAGATGCAAACAAAGGGTGAAAAAGGGAAGCCACAAGGCAAGGATTGCAATACGAGGAGGATGATGAACTGTGGGTGAGTGGTCTATGTTTTTTTATCGCCTGAGATATCGGCTCAGAACATGCGGTTTTTTGACTTGACTCAACTCGAAAAGAGACACAAGGGGGAATCGTGGAAGGCAGAAGGCAAGGGTTGCAATATGTGGAGGTACCCACAAGGGCCTTTTGACTCGACTCACAAGTGTTGCAGACGCTTCAAGCCAAGGAGCGGGGCGAGCGAGCCGGTGAGATTGGTGCCGGGGAAGAATGCTGCAGGAGAGGTACGGAGGGAGTGCAGGGGGGATTGAGTTGGGATGGGGTGGGGGCGGATCAGGGAGGGTGAAGCCATTTCTACTAGTCAATTCTAAGCGAGCGGGACGAGCGAGCCGGTGAGATTGGTGCCGGGAAGAATGCTGTAGGAAAGGGGTCAGAGGGATGAAAGGAATGGATGGGTGATGAATGGGGGATGAATGGGGAATGGATGGGTGATGAAGGGGATGAATGGGGAATGGATGGGTGATGAATGGGGGATGAATGGGGAATGGATGGGTGATGAATGGGGGATGAATGGGGAATGGATGGGTGATGAATGGGGGATGAATGGGGAATGGATGGGTGATGAATGGGGGATGAATGGGGAATGGATGGGTGATGAATGGGGGATGAATGGGGAATGGATGGGTGATGAATGGGGGATGAATGGGGAATGGATGGGTGATGAATGGGGGATGAATGGGGAATGGATGGGTGATGAATGGGGGATGAATGGGGAATGGATGGGTGATGGATGGGGGATGATTGGGGATGAATGGGGATGGATCGGGAATGCTAGGGGCAGATGAGAGGGATGAATGGGGAATAAATGGGAATGCAGGAGGTGGCTTTGAAGGGATGATGGATGGGGGGATGGATGGGGGGATGGATGGGGAATGCAGAGGGGGGATGAATGGTGGATGAAGGGGAATGGATGGGGAATGCAGGAGGTGAATTAGAGGGGATGATGGATGGGGGGGGATGGATGGGGGGATGGATGGGGAATGCAGGAGGTGGATTAGAGG